ATACCACTTATCAAGAATCACCTACGAAGCAACCTATCATCAAGGAAGATTGAGAATGTATGGGGACAGGCGTATGCGTGGTTCATCATAGGTCGGCTTTAGTTGGAATAAATAACTCTGGCGGCGCGGCTCATGAAGTCAAAACAGAGGCAACCCGACTACCTTGTCGGCTGCATCAATGTTATTCCCGGTAGCCGACTCCTCGTTGGCGATTGTATGATTGTTTTGCGGAATTCGACCCGGGATTGTCGGATTGTTTTGATATCGTGTTGTTGGACGTACCATAAGATGATTCTGATTCTTCCAGTTATCATTTCAGATTGGGCATATTCCTATCGACTACGGTCGACTCTTTTTTGGTGAAATTATATGTGTTTGCTATAACTTTCTTTTGATTGTGTGTCTAAGAGACTAGGATTAATTTTGTGGTTTTACGCTTGGTCGAGACCGTCCTAGTCGACCGACGTTTGTCCCGTACGTAGGAGATCAGCGCCCTACGAACGGACAACGTTCGGGTCCACTTGGCGTTAACCAAACGTACCTATACTATGGCGAACGAGCAAACGCCCTCGGCTGACCTACCTCTGCAATTGCATTTTAAAACTTTTGCACGTGGGTCGGTAGCTCGGTAGGGATACTGCCCTAAGGGTGGTGACAGCCCCTTAGGGAAGGTAGCTTATGCCCTGCGGGAACCTATCCTATCGTAGGAAACCGCAGGATGGATTGCTGGCGCACCCGGCCAAAGCGGCGGGGGACGATGCAACTGCGTCCGTCTCAGCGGCTCACGGAATGTTATGTGTCGTTCCCAAGTTGTCTCTAAATAATTTTTGTTTGTTTATCTCCTGCGTGACATAGCCTGGGAGGACCCTCGTTCAAGCGAGGGCCGATGCGCTCGATGGCAGGCTTATTAGAAAAGGATTATGATGAAGCATTGAAAAAGGAGAGGCAAATCATAAGAGCATTGAGGGAATCAGCAAAACTGGAGAATAGGGTCACCAGAGAAAGGTTTGACACAATGAAGATAGGCTCGGATCAATTTATCCTGCCTAAAGAGAAATAATATATCTTCAGGATGTGTCAGGAATTCTCAGGTGTTTTCTCCTTTAATGATGAAGAGAGAGGACGGTTGGATGTAGACATGATCAAAATGACCAAGATTTAGACAATTGATCATGTTCCATGGAATGATAGACCAACTAAGTATGCCCTAAAGGAGGAAGCGGAAGTAGTAAAGTACCTTGACAAGAAAATTGCATTCAATGTTGCTAAACCTGCTGATGGACCATATGCTAACCACTGATTTTGTTTTTGGAAACCAGGGGGCGGGCTAAGATGGATACAGAATCTTCAGAAGCTCAATTCTGTGACAGTACGTGATGCAGGTAGTCTTCCTAATGCCGATCTCCTCGCTGAATCCTTTGTTGGTCGATGTATTTATTTCCTAGTTGACCTGTATTCTGGCTATAATTAGTTCCCTATTGATCCCACTAGCCGGCCGATGACAGCCATGCACACGCCAAGGGGGCTTGTTCAGATGTGTGTGGTACCTCAGGGATGGACTAACGAGGTGACGGTGGTTCAAAGGGATATGATCAAGGTCATGCAGGACATCTCTCCTGAAATAACCAGTCCCTATATTGATGATAATCCTGTAAAAGGACCCTTGGTAAGACATGAGACTTTGGTCGCAAGGGGAGTCAGAAAGTTTGTCTGGGAACATGCTGAAGGGGTAAAGATGGTCCTAGAAAGACTTCGGAAGTACAATCTGACTGCCAGTGGGCCAAAGTCCATTCTCTTCAAACTAGAAGTGATAATCTTGGGCTTCAGATGCTTTTTTAAGGGTAGGAGCCCTGATCCCAAGAAGATAGACAAGATCTTGAACTGGTCTCTGCCTCTCAAGAGAGTGACAGACGTCAGGAGCTTCTTGGGAGTCTGTGGATTCTGGAGAATTTTTATTCCTCATTTTGCTGCCCTTGCAGAGCCTCTGAGAGAAATGGTAAGACAGGCTGCAACAGAAACGTTGAAAGAAAAACTAAGAGACCGTGGTGTAGTGCTGGGAGTGTCATATTTTGATGATGAGGAGACAAGACCTTTCATCATTGAGGCTGATGGAGGACCAGTGGCTCTGGTGGAGTGCTTATACAGAAAGATGAAAATGAGAGAGAAAGACCCTTAAGATTTGAAAGCAGGACCCTCAATTCTACTGAAAGAAACTACACCCAATTCATGAAAGAGCTATTGTGAATCATCTATAGCCTAAGGTGTTTCAGGCACTACGTCTTGGGAAGGAGATTCATCCTGAAGACTGATGCATCTGTTGTGATTGGTGCCATTAAAAAGCACCAACACGTAGATCTAACGGTCAGCAGATGAATCGCCTTCATCTGGAAATATGATTTTAAGTTGGAAAAGATCCCCACTGAGAAGAACAGAGCGGATGGCCTAAGCCAGATTGAGTGGCGAGAAGAAGAAGAAGATGTGAATGAAAAAATTGAAGAATTTATCTATGTTGATAATTTCCTTAATTAAAAAGATGATGAGGATTATGAGGCATCACGCTCTTACAAGTGGAATCTGTGGCCCGAAGAGATAGACAGTTGGGGAGAAATCCCAAGTGCATACATTTATGAATCGATTCTTGGGAAAGAGGAAGGAGATGAACCAAACGATTGGTATGCCAGTGTTAATGCAGCGACAGTGGCTGCTCATAAGATTGGGGAAAGTTCAGGTTCAAAGGAAGAAGAGGAGAGTGAAAAGAAGGAAGAAGAGATATATTTCTTCTTTGAGGAATATGATGAGAACTATCAAGAGATTGGCAGAAAAATGAAAAAGGATCAACTAAAAGAATATTACTGTAAAGATTCAAGGAAGAAATTCAGACTAAAAAGAGAACATCTCTTTGTGGATGCTAAGGGAGGCTTACCTCCGCTAAGAGTGGTCTGCGGTAAGGAGAGCCAGTTAGAGATAATCGCTGCTCTTCATGAGGGGGTTGTCGGTGGCCACAGGGCTGCTGAGGCTACCTACTCCAAGACTATCAAGCTCTACTTCTGGCCTGGCATAAGAGACATGATTTTCAGATACTATAAATCATGTGTCTTATGTCATAAGAGGTCTACCACAAGGATGATTGAGACCGTATTCCCTACAATCTTGGTAGAGCCAGGTAGCAGAGTTCATCAATATCTCATCACTATGCCCTCAGGCAAGGGCGAGATGAGATATATACTAAACATGAGAGATAATTTCTCTGGATACGTTAAGGCAAAAACCGGAAAAGGAAGACAGCCGAGCAAGTGGCTGATTGGATAGAGGAAGTGTATCTCAGGTATCCTTTTATCAGAGAATTTATCTCAGACAGAGGATCAAAATTCAGAAATGAGGTTGTTAGAAGAATTACACTCAGATTGGGTGTCAGAACTCGGTATGTGACTACTTACTATCCTCAAACGAATGCACCTGTTGAAAGAGGCCATAGAACTCTGAAAGATTCATTAGCGAAGTGGTGTGAAGGGAAACTCAACAATTGGTCAAAGGTGTTAAGAGCTGCTGTATATGCTGATAATATTACTATCAAGAGAACCACAGGGTATGCACCTTTTACTCTATGGTACGACCGATATGCTACATTACCGATTGAGAGTATTGTCAAGACATGGTCAAGTCAAGAAAGTGATAGAGATTATTCTATTTCAGAACTCTTTCAGATCAGAATGAGGCAGATATCTGAAGTCGATCAGGTAATGATGGATGTGCGAATTTATAGCGCGCATGGCTCGCGTAACATTGCAGCCGAGATCAACGAGGAAGAGAGGAGAGGGTTGCGCAACATTGCAGCCGCGGACTCTCGCACATGGCTCGCGCAGCATTGCAGCCGAGATCAAAGAGAAAGAGAGGAGAGGGTTGCGCGAATTTATAGCGCGGGAGGCGGCGGGTTGTCAGCGCGAGGTGCGGGCATCGCAGGTTGTAGATGAGCAGGACAGGAGGAAGATGGGGAGTTGAAGGGTTCGACCCGCGGGATGGCATGGTCCTACGTGATTGGGGTGTCCGTTTAAGTGGCGCCCGGTTTCCCGCTCTCCACATTGATCCGAGCATCCCAACTACGCGGCCAATCACTTCGCGGGGATAGGATCGAGCTGGGCGGAGGGGAAGACGAAGAGTTCGGCATGGGGAAAATGCGCGCAGTAAGAAGGGAAGATGGCGCGGGGATGCAGAGCAAGAAACGGGGATGCGAGACACGCGAAGAGATAAGAGCTTGGGCGTGCGCGCGCAAAAAAAATCAAAAAGTCCCAACCGCCCCCGTTTCTTTGTTTTCATACTGCGACCGCTATTCGCCGGCGTGGGAGTTATTAACCAAAAAAAAATTTAAAAAGCCGTTTCAAAAAGAAAACAAAAGCAGAAAGAAAGAAAAACCCCTTTCAGTCTATGTCCGAACTTCGGGGCTTCCGTGGGATTTTTCCTCAGGGATACGGGAAACCGCGCGGTACGGATTTGGGCTTATCACATCTGTGATACGCAGGGGGTTCCGAAAAATTAGCAGTCTCTCGACAACTGATGTCGTCATATCTTGGATGATCGGGCGGCCTCTTCATCGTTAGTTGGCCCGATCATCTTCCTAATCTACGTGGATGCATCCTGCATCCTCCATCGCCTCCTCCCATAGTATACATTCGATCGGATGACCCCTTCATCGTCAGCTGGCCCAATCGGTAATTTTATATATATATATATATATATATATATATATATATATATATAGATATAGATATATATAT